ACACGAGGCGAAAGGGGTTAGAGGCACACGCACATTGGTTTTCTATCGTCCTGGGGGGGCGGTGGCTGTGATTGTCTCTAATCGCCGGAACCCGATACAACAGAGGAATCCTCGTCCATTGGCCAGGCGCGGATGACGCGCGCCCACGGCCACTCTCTCGCGGTTATTGAGCTGCCCGATCCTCGATTGAAAGACAAAGACTCCGAAATGAGCGCTTTTATCTGGCGCCCTCCTGGGATGACGGGGGGCGGGAGGGGGGAAGCGGACGTGGTTATCATCGGTTGTTGTTGCGTACAATTTAATGCGCTATCATTTAGATGCATTTGTTTATTTCCATCGGCAGACAATAATGCGCTCTCCACACGGTACGCGCGATTGATTTTTGTCACGCGGGGGTTGATTGGGGAGGGGGGAGGGGGGAAGGGGCATGACCTCTCGGCCTAGCCATTCCTTCCTTCAACTTAAGAAGCAGCCCAGTAACATCGGCTCTTATTTTGTAGCTATATGCACATGGCAGCGCTGGTTGAATAAATGCGCAACCCAAAATATATTTTTAATATTGCAGATATCCCGGGCTGTGCGACAACGGTTTGTAACTTTCAACTCGTGAGAATTTAACGCTTTAACCTTGTGGGGCAAGCACGTTTTAAAACGAACGCTTGTTTTGTTTAACCACGACGGTTTAAGAAGCAAGACACCAGGATAGTCTCGCTTGCGATGGTGACCTGGAGTCACCAATAAATAAGAAAAAACCCTAAATAAAAACAAACGGAGACAATCGGAACATAAACAACCGCGTCGCGTGAGGAATTGAAGACACTGAATGGCATTGACCCATTGACGTATGTCTTCGTGTTACTATAATGCTGACCCACTGACGTCACCAGCGATGTGACCGTGGCTTTTAACTGTTTGTTTTCATTTACCGAAACGCCAAATAGTGCCGGACGGCTCAGAAACCCACTCACTCCAAGTTAAGCCACCGTTCGAGGAATCATAGACACGAGCCGGCCGGTGGTGGCTACGCACTTGGCCTGTAATTCTGCACGGGCGGAGGCTAGGATTGGTGGATCACGCACGCATGTCCTTGTGAAACTCCCATTCCCAGGGGCATCGAAGTACCATATCCTGGCTCGCCAGCAGAATGCAGTACAGCAAGTGGACTAATTTACATCTGTACGGGGATAGTGCGTTGCCCCCCTCGCAATAGTGTCTTTGATCTGGGTGCTCTGTTTTTTTCTCCCATGTGTACACACTCAAATTAGCTGAAAACATCTTATCATATTAAGGACCGCAGAGCTTGAGAGAGGCAAGAGGGGAGGGATGGATTTAGCGCCGGCTATTACCTCCCCCATTCGTCTGTGGTTCCTCTCCTCGCGCCTTTGAGTCGTCTACTCTCTCTCTCTGCGTGTTCCAGAGTGGACAGCGCTGCTGATACCATGGACAGCTCTCCCAGACGCAGTCTCGTGTCACTTCGCATTAGGGGCGCCCTGCTGCCCAGACCCCTTGGACGCGTCCGTGCTAATTCGGTTGAACATCAAAGCTGGGGCAGCTCGCGTTATAAACAAAAGTGCGGCGCTTTCGACTAAATGCTCCCGGGGGTAGCGCGCGTGGATGTTTCGCGTTCCGTCTGCAGGCGAGCGGACAAGATCTTTGCCTGTAACACATCCGATGTATGTATATAATTGTTTTACCGGTTCGTTTATTCATCTGCATACGAACATGTGCCCACTTCGCTGGCTGATGGTCATGTCTCGGATTGTTAACATTCGGACTTATTTGAATTACTTAAAAAATATACAGTTATCGGTTTTTCTACACAAATATCGACCAACAACGTGTACCATCTTTTGTTTTAAAACCTGAGAAACGAATGCAGATGTCCCATTGATGTAATGATTAGCAGCACACTGGACTTGCAACCTCGAGGTCGCCTGTTAGATTCCATCTACAGGCACGGCGGTTAAAACAATGGGACAAGTAAATTGTTTCATCCTTCTCCCGCTTCTCTCCGCCCAACAGGAAAAAATAGCAAATCACAGTCAATCGGACAGTCTCGTGTCAGAATCAGAATATATACTTTTTTATACTGGAGGAATCCGATGAGCTATGAAGCTCTTTCACAGATGTCCAGTAGCTGGGGAAAAGTGTGGGTATGCCCACCTCTTTAAAAAAACACGTCTGCTCCATGCGGAAGAGTAGACCAAATACCCTCGAGAAGCGGTTATTAACCTTTACTGCAGCCTTGCACCCCTTGGGTTCTCAATCGTAAAACATTTTTTTAATTTTAATACATAGTCAATCTTGATTTGAAGCTTTCGTGACTGCAGAAATCCATACTCTTTGGTTCTTTTGGTAAAGTCGCGTAGGTATGAATACACAGGTTTGGTGAAAAGAAGTAGTTGTACTTACGTGCCCGTGTTAAATTTTAGTTTCGATGATTTACCTTCTAAAAAAAATCTGGCCACGTCTCGCACCCCCAGGGGGTGCAGCGTGCACCCCAGGTTAATAAAAAGGACAATTGCTCGAAAGGGGGGGGGGGGAGAGGCCCTTTGGCCAACAGTGGAGTTTGTAAGCAATCGCCGGGCTGTGTGTGTACCTTTTACGCTTCAATCGATAAACGAGGGCAACTGTACCACGCGGTGGCTAGTTCGACCGGGGCCGTTTGTACGTTGGCACGTGCCGACCCGTGCATTCCCCGAACTAAAAACGTCACTGGAAGTTATCGCCTTCTCCTGCCTCCTGACGGAACCGGCCGTCGATTCTGAAAACGGTTACCGGTTCAGACTCGGTTACTGTACCGTTCTCCGGCCCTGTGCCTGGCGTCGGTTTTTTGTATTGCCTGGCAACAGCGAGAACCCTTCTCGTGGCGAAGTTGCCCTGTCGAGGCGCACGTGTTGACAACTTTGATGGGTCGGCGGCAGCAGCAGACAAACACGGCGAGGTTGGGCCCCGTAATTCAGACGGTTGGTGGCTTAAACTTGGTTTGACGCTTTCGTGACTGCAGGAATTACTCTTTGGTTCTTTCGGAAAAGTCACGTGGAAAGAAAATGAGTTAAATAATAGAATGCGACGTTTCGATTGCAACACAAGCAACCGTCATCAGGTAGAACTACAATTGAGAGAGAGACAAAACACATACACTGATGGTTGGTGGCTTGTCTATTGTAAAATGGGTTCGTGTGGGAGCCGCAATGCATCCTAGCATTGCAAGGGGCAGGAGGAGGGGGGTGGGGGGGGTTATCGAGTACATAAAGCGAAGCAAGTCCCATTTGATATCAAATAATATTACGGGGAGCAATTTCACTGCCGTTCGCCTTACCTTGATTACGTGCGTGCGTGGTCAGTGATGCGTGGTACAAGCCGTGGTAACCCACGCATGCCGACGCAGTACAGACATTAGACATTCATTGCGATGAGTTTTCTCGTAGTAACTAACAACTCCTTTTGCAGGATCATGCGAGCACCGAGATCATGGTGGGCCGTCTGACATACAAACAAACAAACACAAAACACGCCAACAACAACGACTGCTTATCCCGGCTCACCTGCGTGGCTCACCCGTACGATGTCGTGCGCTCACGGGCGCCGGGGAGACGACGAGGAGGGAGGAGGAGAAGGATGTGGCAGGGATCGGGTCGGGGATGTCTGCAGGCGGGGGGGGGGGGGGGGGGGGGGACTTCTCGCCTCTCTCGCGCGCGCGCTCCGTCTCTTCTCGCACGCGCTCGCCCACCCCGCTTGTCGCAGAAGACACTTTGTGGGCTAATCATCCGCCGAGGCAGTGACGCAAAGTGTCCTCGGCGGGGGGCTTGTCGGGGGGGAGGGGGGTGAGGGAGGGAGGGAGGGAGAGAGGGGGAGATGACAATGATCCCAAGGATGAGAGCGGGGGACCCAAGGAGAGGCTCTGCAGCAGCAGCAGCGGTGGCGGCAGGCAGTGTTTGCTCGGGAAAACAAAACTAGCGAGTGTTTTGACGGGCAGGGTTAATAAAGGGAGAGAGGGGGGCCACGCGAGAGGGAGGAATCGCGAGGTTGAACGCGAGATGCGTGCGATGAGAATGTGCACAAAGGAGAGAAGACAAATGGGTCTCGGTCCCTCCCGAGGCGAGTTAGGATGAGTCTCCACGGATGATGTCGCCTCGCCCCCCCCCCCCCACCAAACTTCCACCAGCCCCCCACCCTCGTCAACCCGGGACAGCGCGACTACATTCACGCGTTTAACTGGCACCACCTCAGCATCTCACTTTCTCCCTCCTTTCATTCCTCTATCCTTCCTTTCTTCTACTTTCTTTCCTGCCTATCTTCTTCCTTTCTCTCCTCTTACCTTCCCTCCGACGGTTCTTTTCGTACCTCCGATATTCCCTCGCTCCCTCTCACCCTCCCACCCACTCTCCATCCTTCCCTTCCTCGATTCACACGTAACCCTTTCTGTAATCATCGCTCAACATCTCCCCCTTCTTTCCATACCTCATTCACGTCCTTTCTCCATCTATATCTCCCTCCATACATCATCCCTCCCTCTTTCAATGCCCCCCACCACCACCAGCTTTCCCCTCCCTCTCTCCATTCCTCCCCAATCTCTCCATACCGCCCTCCCTATTTCAATTCCTACCTCACTCGATACATTCTATATCCATACCTTCCTCCCTCTCAATCCATACCTCCCTCCATACATTACACTATGTAATACTTTTTTTTGTTCCTGGGTAGTAAGTGTTATTTCCTAATTGCTTATGCCTCAAAAGTACAGAAAATGGCTCTTATTCCCCACAAATTTTGATTTTATGACCAGGACAGTGATATTTTGAAATGTACCTATTTTCCAGAACATTCCACAGATTCAGTGCCGAGACAAACTTAGAGTAACTTCTTGAAGATTCTAGAACTTTTAAGTAATATAAATAGTAGTATAGATACAGGGGCCTTAAGCCCACCAGTTCAGTTTAGTTCCAGCTGCCTAAGTGGATACATTTCTGTATTTTTCTGAGATGGCATCAAGAGGCTGTAAGCATCTGGCAGACGCATTTTTCGGTCTGCGGCCAATTTATCAAGGCAAGAGTGAAAAAGTACTCTGTGGAAGCATCTGCTATGATGTGTGAGGCCTAGAAGGCATATTTCGGCATGCCTATCGGGGATCAAGACAAACCCTGGGCACCTCATTTCACCTGCGAGCAATGCAAAAAAACTCTGGAAGGTAAGATGGACAATTGTTGCTCGGAATTTTACGTAATATAATTTGTAAAAAAAAATTGTTAAAGTTTTTAATTTTAAAATGTTTTACACTTTTCAATGTTATTGAAAAAATATAATATATGAAAAATGTTGCAAGAATCTCTTACACATTAGTCATGGGTGAAATAAATGTATTTTTGTAGGATGGTACAGAGGGCAAAAGAGAGCCATGAAGTTCGCTATCCCAATATTTTGACGGGAACCCATTGACCACTCAAGCAACTGCTACTTCTGCCATGAGCTCCCCGTACCCACTCCTCCAGATAGAGAGCAACTGTCTTTAGAAGAGCACAGTAAGTCTGAGAGCGAGGAAGACGTAGATACAGATGACAATTTCAGAGGTGGAACCTGAGGAAAGAACCCCATACTACCCCAACCTTAAAGACCTCAACGACTTGATCAGAGATCTTGGTCTCACCGAGTCCAATGCCGAGCTTTTGACGTATAGACTCAAGCAGTGGAACTTGTTGGATGAAAGTGTGCAAATCGCAGATCGGAGGAAGCATCACCAACCTTTTTGCAGTTTCTTCACTCGTCAAGATGGGCTCTGCTTCTGCCACAATGTGACCAGTCTGTTCGAGGCAATCGGAATCGCCTGTAACCAGAATGAGTGGCGCCTCTTTGTTGACAGCTCATCCAGGAGCCTCAAAGCCGTGCTGCTCCATAATGGTAACAAGTACCCGTCTCTTCCCCTGGCTCAAATGGTGCACCTCAAAGAGGATTACAACAGCATCAAGACCTTGATGCACGCCTTAAAGTATGATGAGTACGGCTGGGAGGTCATCGGAGACTTCAAAATGGTGGCATTCCTGATGGGTCTCCAAGGCGATTTTACCAAGTTTCCCTGCTATCTTTGCCTTTGGTACAGTAGGGACACCAAGGCACACTACTACAGGCGGGACTGGCCACAGCGGACCGAGTTCTCTGTGGGGAGGAACAACATCAAGTGGGAGCCACTGTGTGGACCCCCGGAAGGTGCTGATGCCTCCACTGCACATCAAATTGGGCGTTATGAAACAATTTGTCAGAGCTGTAAATAAGGAGTCGGCAGCCTTGAAGTACCTTCAAGACTTCTTCCCTAAGCTGTCTGAGGCAAAGGTCAAAGCCGGTGTCTTCGTCGGACCACAAATAAAGAAAATCCTGGAGTGCAATTAATTCCCCAAGAAGCTCACTAGGAAGGAGAAAGCGGCTTGGAACAGCTTTGTCGCAGTGGGTCGTGGCTTCCTGGGCAATCACAAGGTCGGGAACTATGTGGAGCTGGTTGAGACTGAAGAACTACGGCACAATGGGGCTGTAGGATGTTCCTCAAAAGTCCAAATACTTGATGGTCATCTTGATAAATTCAAGGAGAACATGGGAGCGTACTCGGAGGAGCAAGGCGAGCGCTTTCACCAGGATAAACTGGACTTTGAACGCCGCTACCAAGGACAGTATAACAAGAACATGATGGGAGACCATATTTGGGGGCTGATTCGTGAAAGTGATTTACAGTTTCATCGTAAATCCCGAAAAATCGTTTGTAGTCTTTTTATTATTTTAGAATAAATACATGTTAATTTTGATTCATGTTGGTTTTTTTCTGACCTTTACGTAAACGAAAAGACACACATTCGCCATTTTTCTCACTTGAAAACATGTACATTTCAAAATATCACTATCCTGGTCACAAAGGCAAAGTTTGTGGGGAGTAATAGCCATTTTCTATACTTTTTAGACATAAGCAATTAAGAAATAACACTTACTACTAAGAAACAAAAATTGTGTTCGTGTCATCTATCCCTACCTCCCTCCATACATTCTCTATCCATAACTCCCTCCCTCTCTCCATCCCTACTTCTACACATTCTCTACATACATCCGTCCCCTAAAGCTCGCTCCCTCCATCGCTTCCTCTCCTCTGTATCGGGCAGAAGACTCTCACTCGAGCTATGATTCCAATGCAGCAGTAAAAAAAATAGTTACGCGAGTGAATTTTGTAAATCCAGTCTGACGGTTGTCTACATAATATTGATTGCAGCCCCGCGTAGATCCATATCTGCGGTAGGCAGAGTTTTCCCTCTGAAGCGAGCAAAATCTGGTGACTTGGCTGAATTTAAAATCAAACTGAAAATGTCTCACAATTTATTCATGAAGTTGTACGTAAAATCATTTACTTATTAATAAACATTGATTTTCTTCCGTTTAAGTATTGCTTCGACGGTCTTTCATGAACTTCATCTATGTATAACTAATTATACTATATGCTTTTATTTATGTTTATGCCAGACGCATTCATTAATTATCGTTCCAAGTAAGTACATTAAGTGGTTTATTTTCTCGTACAATTTGAATCCCGCTAACAGTGAGAGGTCGCGCTTAGTGGACTGGCTTGACGGCTTGTTTATGAATTGCAATACGGGCGCATAGGTATTTCAGGATATTTATTTTTGTCGCTGTACTTCCAGGCACGTTGCATGCGCAAAAAGTAGAACTTACGACTCGGCTCTGCACGTTACATAATAATGCGTCAATAACGTACGGGTTCGCTGTTGGGGAGCCGTGCATTAAATATTAATGAAGTGAAGGTGAATGAGCTGACTGGTTACTCGGTGCACTGTGCCTCTGCCACGCGTCCGGAGTTGAAGGCTCGGGCATTTATGGAGGTGGCGAGGAGTTCGCGTAAGGCGACCAGCCGGGCAAGCTGCTCCTGGTTTCCCCGAAACCAGATGTACGAATTAATGTATGTATATATGTTGAACTTCTTTTGCACCGTACGTAGCCAGCCGTGCTAATCGGAGGTGCAGCGGAGGTAGAACAAACCAAACACGACAAGGACTTCGAAAGAAATGAGCTTTCCATCTAGACGATTTTTTAAAGTGCATCGCTCCAATAGCTTCCGAATATCGGGAGGAAGAGCGCTCCAGACGACGACAGAAGCGCATCTGCAGTGCGCACAGCCGTGCACTTATTTGAGGAGCGGTGGGGAAGGAACGTTTTTCCCAAGCCATGGGCAAATGGTTTCAAGTGCATTTGTTGAACCAAGAGGTGAGAACTCGGGAGGGGGCCACCATGAGTTTCATTTTCCAGGAATGACTGGGGGCCCATTCGTATGCCAATAGGCGAAACGACGATTGATATGTAAACTTTGGCCAATTTTGGACCGTGACACCGACACACGATGACCTCCCCTTGCAAATAGGGTCAGGTGATCTTTAACGTCCGGCGCGTGAAGCCGACTTGAGCGCAGTAAATTTCGATCTAAAGCTTTCGTGACTGCAGGGATTCATCTTCTTGGTTCTTTCGGCAGCTCCTTACTATTAAAATGTCCCTCCCTTTATTACTGGTAATCCTTCTTCCTCCCTTTATGACTGCTAATCCTACATAATACACGAGCATAATATGACTTTGAGACCTCCCCACCACCTACACATTCCACAAGTAGTGATTAATCCCATATCTGCATTACCCATAAATATGCTAAATTCCTCTGTTGATATGTAAATTCCTTTGTCAAGGCGCTCTCCTCCTCTAACCCAGCTTAAATATACGCTGCCAAGCTTGGTGGTGTTCATTCGGACGCTGTCTTTCCGACAGCCCTGTTCTTCACCCGAGGACGGCTGCTTGTGCTGTGGCCGAAACGTCGTGAGAATTGTATTTAATGTTTTATTTTTATTATTTTATTATTTCCCTTCTACGTGACTTTACCGAGAGAGCCAAGAAGATGAGCGCAGTAGCTATCATGGTTACCAAAACCGCAGTCTTAATCGCGACGACCACTGGGATCGAACCGCGAACCTCTGCAACAAGCAGCCGACGCCGCCGTCTGACCTTGCCGTCCAGAATCCATTTCCCCCTGGCTGTGTTTGCACTGCTTAAGACCCCTCCTGGTTCAAGTCCAGGTCCAAGCCCTCGATTGAACATTCCATGATGAATGTCTCTTCCCCCAATGAAGTCTACTCAAATCCCGCTGCTAAATTGGTAAATAATTACGGCCCATTGTCTTTAGAATTACTGTATAAAGGCCTCCCCCATGTTGCATTATCCCGGTGGAGTTCTGACCATATTTCACCACGTAGAGCGCATGTTAGTTAATCTCGGGAGGCCAAGACTCTATTAAATATCGCACACGGCGTGAGATATCGCGACGGAGCTGCATGGCTCCCGGTGTCCTCACGCGGTTTGCAACCCGCGGACACATCGGAGAGAGATTCTCGACAGTCACAAACGTCACCCGTGGCCAGGATTCTAACTCGGACGGCTCAAAATCCATAAGCACAGCGCGATGTTACCGCGGTGCCACCATCCGGCCAGTAGCGTCTTCCATGAGAGGCTGATCTTGACACCGCTAGTGCGAGCGTTCGAGAGCACACACGCGCACAACGCACGATTTTGCGTTGCGCTGATGTTCGTGATCAGTCGAGGCTTTCTGAGCCTCTGCCTATCCGCTCTCCCCCAGCTCTCCCTTTTCCCCAATTCCTGTCACACCCCCCCAACCCATGTCAATATATTAGCTGCGCCGCCTGGGATCATCCAACGTTTCTCACAAACATCTGTTGCACAAACACAAACACCGCCTGGTTACCGGCCGGTGAAAGCATCCCCACCCCCGCCTTCTTTCTTAGTGACAAACACAGCCGTGCTGTATCGTTACGAGGCCACATGAATCATATTTGCTCCGGCCAACTGGCAGATCTTAATTGTTCGCGATTCTAAGCCATATTCCGCCGTCGCTACTAAGAGCTTGATATTTGTTTATGGCAGCTGTATGCTGTGTATGTGTAATATAAACACAGGCAAGTGTGGAACGGTAGTGTAGCGGCTAGCACGCTGCGTTACGAATCTTGGGGCCCAAATTCGATTCCCGCTCACGGCCAACACCAGTGACGATTATCTGAAACTGCTCCTGAGCCTCCCCTAGGTCGACTCGGCCTCCGCGACGCCCTGATGACCGATGGAAGGGATGATGACCGGATGGGTCCAAGGATATCGACGATGAAGGGATGGGGGGGGGGGGGATCAGATTGTTAGCAATGACTGAGAATCTAACTTAGGCGGCTAGGTTCATCGTGCAGTGCGCTAAGCGCTGGTGCCACGACTCCCCCAAGAATGGAGACGTGAAATATACATAACGATGAAACCGGAATAATTATTATTATTATAATAATAACCTTATTACTCGTGTCTGTTGTGCATTGAGACATCACGATGCCCCCATTCCGGCAGACTTTCTTGTGACAGACGCAACTTATTAATATCGATGCGAATGTCCAAAGGAGCCTCCTTGATGTCGCCATAAACGCGTTTCATTATATCACTGGGGTGGAGCAGGTGGCGCAGTGGTTAGCGCATCGTGCTACGAACCCAGCGAAAGCGAGGTTCGATTCCAGGCCACGGCTAACATTGGTGATTACCTGAACCAGCCCTGCTGAGTTGTCACTTAACGAACCAGCCCGCAGCGACGAGCGTGGTGAAATATGGTTAGAAATAAAACCTCAACTGATACAGTGGTAGCTTGTTGACATGGGGATGTAAAATGGGATTATTAATATCGTAATGCAAAACATCTAAATGGTTTGTTTAGACACGTGTCGGAGGTAGGCACACATCTGGATAACACTGTTTTTTTTCTATGGACCAGGATCAAAAGATTAAATTAATGGGGGACAGGCGCGGACGAAATTGGATCATTTAATTTCGTATTGTAACTCGGGTATCGGTGGCTGTGCACGTGTCTGCTGTAATCCAGCACTGTGGTGGAGGCAGCAGCGAGGGGGTTGGTGGGTTACCGCACACACAGCCGTTGTCGTGGTGGAACTCCCTTCCCCGTGGGCATCGAGGAGGGGTCATCATACCCTGGTTCGCCAGCAGAACGCATTACAGCAAGTAGGCTAATCTCATCACTTTCCATCTGTACGGGGGACGGAGTTCAGTTTCATTTATTTGGTGCAGCCCTGTGAGCCTTTCGGCTCTTGAATCGGGTGCAACCGCAACAAACAATAAACAAAAACATGAACAAGAAAACATCTTAATTTGATTATGTAACTATGTGCAAACAGAAATTCCAAGAAAAGACAGCAAAATATTGCAGAAAAAGCACCGTACACCAACACTGTGTGCAAAAATCCCAGTGAGATGCAAGTCAAACGACAACAACAACAACCACAAGACACCCCTCGCGTGTATATTACAACACAACTCGTCATGAATTTACTGAAAACATCTTTTAAAATAAAACCCCAATGCAGCAGCAGGACCACCACCCCTCCTGAAATAGGGTCATTGTAATGACGGAGGGGAGAATCGACGGAGAGGACCGTCCAGGACGGAGATGGAGCCGACGAGGTCACGTTGTAGTGGGTACGGGAGGCGGCTATGGATGAACAGTTGGAATCTCGGGACTATTCAGGATTGTGTGGCGGCTTGGGGGGGGGGGGAGGCGGCCTTCATCGTGGTCGCTGTCGATGACTGATGAATACAAAACGTTACCGGACTCTGACGAGGCGCTGAGCAACAATGGAGGGGACACACGGGGGGGGGGGGTGGTGGTCCCCAACGCGCATTTAGTCACAAACCCATTCCTAGTCGAAGTCTCTCCTCTCCGCTCGTCGTCTTGTACACGAGCAGGCAGCTACCCCCCTCCCACTAACCCCCCCCCCCCCCCCACTAACCCCCCCACTAACCCCCCCCCCCCACCAGTCCATCTTCATCAGGCTTAGGAGCAGCGCCGCTGATCGCCGCGGTTTCACTTCCCCCTTCCAACAGCCCCCCCCCCCTGCCCC